AGGATTTGAACCCACACCAGACTCACTCCAGGGCCTGCATTTACTGCCCAATAGTCCATGGCATTTGGCTGATCTCATTCTGTCTCCCAGCTAGAGAACCAGCTGTCTGAGAGCAAAGACTCATCCCGAGCTTCTCTGGTTCCACCCACTATGACCCCTTGCACTTGGCTGACTCCTGAGACATACTGGTTTCTGAATTTCTGAGGGCAGGAGGGGCACTGATGCCTGACTTGAGGGTCTTGGCTAGAAACTCCCCAGTGCTCAGGTGTTATGAGGAACAGGAACCCTGCCACTGGCAGCCATTCCATCCCATGTCTGCACCACCCCGTTAATCTGGCCCATCTTCAGAAGGTAGCCAGCCCCCCCCACACACACATACACACATAGCCCATCCCAGGCCCCTTCTGCTGGAACAGAGGGCCTTTCAGCCTTGGCTGCTGCCATGACCACCTTCTCAGGAGGGGCTGTGTTTTTCTAAACTTTTGATCCTGAGGTGCAGGCAGACTGCAGGCCAGTAGAGGGGGTCCCAGCCTTGTTTGTATAGGTCTGTGTGTCTGTGTGATAGGATAACACTGTGACTGTTGTGTGTCTGTCTCCTGACTAATTGCAGGCTTCAAAGATTGAAGGGGCCTCTTGATGTAAACATATCTGCGTATCAGTATGTGTGTGTGTTTGTGTGTGAGATTGTGGATTCCTCCAACAAGGCTCTCTTTGTTTTCACTGCTCTGACTCCCTGTTCCATCAGAATAGCCCCGTTTGATTATTTTTATAGGGCATTTTAGCCTTCTTCCTTCAGTTCCCTCTATCCTCCAGTAACTGTTCCCAGTCCCAGTGTACCTCATTCTGCCTAAAGAAGAACGGCAGCTAGGAGCTCTGAAGCTGGTGTCTAATTTCTGGTTCTGAGGCATTCTGTGCCTCAGTTTCTCTACAGTAGTGTGTGGAGCTGGGAGCCAAACTAAACAGTGTCACTAGGAACCGGGGATTAAACCATAGAGCACCCTTCTTTCCTTTCACATAGACTCCTCATTCTTAATGCTCTCTCTCAGTTAACCTCTTTGGGTCTCTGTGCCTCATTTCCTCATCTATAAAACTGGGATAAATAATAGTATCTAACTCAGAGTTGTTGTGCCAATTAAATAATATCTGGCATATACTAAGAGCTCATTAGATGTTAGCATTGTTACTATTGAAAGTATTTACTGAGCCCTTCATTGTGCCTGGTGTGCTAGTCTCCAGCAATGTCTTCCCTCCAGGTTTCTATCTGGGATGCTTCATAGACAGGGAACTGGAGGGTCTGGGAGGGCCCAAACAACAGAACGAACCATTTTCTGACAGCCTGAGGCCGTTCTCTGGGAGACGGGGCTGTACTTCTCACAGGAAGGCGAGGTCTTCCACCTCCTCACTCCCAACACTGCCACCCCTCCACTCTGGTGGGCAAGTTTGTGCAGAGGAGCAGAAAGTCGGCTTTGTCTAACCCGCCCTCTGCTGGCCAGTGGTGAAAAGCCTTGGGTAAGGGTTGTGCATTAATGTAGGGTGAGGTAAAGGGCTTTCTGAATGAGAGGGGAAGGAGGGACTTCTGTCAGATGAAGAGTCTCAAACCAAAAAACCAAACGGCTGTCATCGAATCAATTCCAGCTCCCGGGGAACCCGTATTTGTCCAAGTACAACAGCACTCCACAGGGTTTTCGATGCCTGTGACCTTTGAGATCACCAAGCTTTCCTCCCGAGGCACCTCTGGGTGAATTCAAACCACCAACCTTTCAATAAGCAGCTGAGCGCTTAACCACTTGTGCCACCCAAGCTCCTTGATACAGAGCCCAGAGTGCTGCATACCCCACCTTCAAAGTGTCCAGCTTGAGTCTGCCTCTTTTTTGCCAGCCTGAAAGCTTTCAAAGATAGCTTCCCTCTCCCCATCAGGGCAGAAATGCTAGGACCAGGAACAGCTGCCAGGCAGAATTACCAACTTGCCCCTAATAGCTGCCAACAACAGTAGGAAGAAGAAAGTCTAGACAGCATGCAGAACTTCTTGACAGCAAAGCATGAGTGGAAGAGAGTAGGAGAAAGGTGTTTCTTATTTGGAAGGTAACCATGGGGGAGGAGGTACCCCAGGTGGGCTCTGTTACATCTGTCAGATAAATTAGTTTATTACTGAGTTGTAAGTCCAATGCACCCAGAGGGTGGTGGTCCACAGCAGCCCCGTTCCTTATGTTGCAAGAATCTCTCCTCCGCCAATGCCTGAGATAGATCTTCACCCCACCTCCAAATATACTGACCAGACATTTGCTATATCCCTGTGGGCTAAAGGAAAAAGATGAAGGAGAAACTGAAGCTAGATTGCTGGAAGGACTATCCTGAGAGTGAGGCTGGGAACCGTCTTGTCCTTTTAAGAGTCTCTGGTGTGGGAGCCCCTGGGGCCAGCCTGTAGAAAGGACCCTCTTCTTCCAGTGAAGTAAGGGAGCTGGGAGCTTGGCAGCCACCACCTCTGGATTCTCTGGGTCTTTCTACCGGCTGGCAGGTCCCCAGAGGGTAAGAAGGGGGAGGGGAAGCAGCCGCAGCAAAATCATGGGTAATTATTTTATTGCATTTTTGAGAATGCCGTTGTCCATACAGATTACATGCAGCTAGTTCTACTGTACAGGCCCCGGCAGCCTCCACTGAGGGCCGGGAGGGGTGGGTTACAATACACAGCAGTGCTACTTCTTTATATTGCCTGGGGTGAGTTTGGCAGGGTGGGGGCTCTGAGGCTCCACGCTGGCCTCCCTGGCTCCTCCCAAGGTGCCCTAAGCGGGGACCGGAAATTCATTCCAGCTTCTACCCAAGTGTGCAGAGGATTAGGGCAGAGTGGATGGGGTAAGAGGGGGAGGCAGAAAGAAGAAAAGGACAGAAGGCAGGCCTGAGAGCAGACAAGACAGAACTCAGCAACAACTCATCTCTGATCCCACCGTCTCTGTCCTGCCCCACCTTCCCCCCAAATTTGGCTCCTGGACACTTCCAGCAGTTAGGTGATTTGTAAGGGCAATTGATTCCCGTTCTGTACTTTTCTGTTATCCTCGCCCCACCCCTCTCCTCCTGCCCCATGTATGCTCCTTTCTGGGCCAACCCCAGAGCAGCGGGGCCTGGAAGACCCTGCCCGCAAGGAGGGGGTGTTGGGAAGATGACTGGTGCTGAAAGAGGGGAGCCAGCAGAAGAGGCTGGGGAGGCAGCTGAGGCCCTGAGAACAGGCACTGGGTCTGAGAGTGGGGGAAGAGGGCTCCCTTGTTGTAAAGTGTGGGGATCCAGCATGTGATGTGGAATGAGGCCTTGGGCTGGCTTGGTGGGGTGCAGGGAGGTGTAAGGACTGGTCTTTGGCTATCAGCTTGGATAGAATTCTCCTTTTCTTCCCTCTCCTCAACACCCAGGGTCCCCTTTGCAAGGGTTTGAATAACCCTTTTCCCATCCTGAACCCACCAGTACTAGTCATTGCATATACATGTATCACACAGGCATGTGTGCACCCGTGTATCCACGTACAGTATAACAATGCCACCTGCCATGTGTTCATATGTGTGTACACACCTATCTAGGCAGCCCCAGGAGGGAGTGGATAATGGGCCTGGCCTCCTCCCCAGTGGGCACCTGGTGGTGGGAGTGGATGCCTCCAAGGGTGGGAGCCAAGGCCAAGGGGCCTGCAGCAGGGTCTTCTTCATTCCTGTAAGCAACCCATTCCTGGGCTGAAAACACCCTGGCAAGAATTTGGAGTTCAAACCCATGAAAGAAAGGAGTTGTGATTCTTGGGGGGAGGAGGGGAAATGACTAGAAATGATAGACCTCGTTTGAGAAAAAACACCAAAGAATGCAAGATGAGGAGTTGGGGGCGGGGGATAGGGGGGCTGAAGGAGCAAGGAGAGATGGGAAGAAAGCCCTCTTGTTAACCCCGAGGCTGACAGCGTCCTGGAGCAGGGGCCACACATCCCTATGTCCCTGTGCTGCCCATCCAGCCCTGTTCATGGGCTGGTAGACATCAGCCCTGAAGGTGCCCCCATGGTCCACCTGGTGCCCCACCTCCATAAGCAGAGACCTCTTCCATCTTTGATGCCCACCCCTCCTTCACCCTGGTGACACACGCAGGGCCCGGTGAATAGAGGACATTTAATATTTCTGTGCTGGTCAAATGGAACACAGGTGGGGAATACATGGGGAGGGGTCAACAGGCCCCCGCCACTCAGGAAGGGTTGCTTGTGAAGGGGTGGATGTGGGGGATCTTGGGAAATATCCAAGGAGTCTTCTCAGCAAGGGGCCTGGCCTGGGGTGTTATGGGCATGAGCACACCCAGTCCTTGGCCTTAAGTTGGGGTCCCCCATAGGGGGTCTGTGGAGGATCTCACTGTTTCCAGCTGTTGCTGGAATCCACACTTCCAGCATGATGGGGGCGGGGGGACTTGGTCCTAGAGAGGGGTCCAAAGAGCCCCCAGGAAGCAGCCCAGGGTTGGGGACGAGGGCTCAGGTGCCTACTGCCCTAGGGGACGTGAACCCTATGGAGGGCTGAGGGCTGCCCACAGCCTCTGCTCTGGGCTGGGCAAGAGCAGAAGGGAGGTGAGCAGGGTCCCGGCCTCTGCTGAGTCCCAGAGTCCTCAGAGTAGGGAGTAGGGGGGTGTGGAGGGAGAGGGTCTTGGCCACCAACAGACACTGTAAACTTTGGTTTAAAACAATAACTTAAGTGAAGGGAGGACTTCCAGCCTGGGGCCACGGGTAGGTCGTAAGGATAGCAGGGTGCTTGGGAGGCGACAAAGGAAAAAGCCAACAAAAAGTTTTGGTTTTTGCTTCCGGCTTAAGAAAGGTCTTTGGTCATCCGTTTAACTAGGGAGAGGGAGCCAGAGAAGGGGTACTGAGGGAAGGTGAGAGGAGGACTGCAATGGAGGGACTTGCAGGCTGGGGGTGGGGTGACCTGTTGGTCACAGCAGCCACTGTCTTAATCCCACCTGTCCCTCAAGCCCCTTTTCAGCCTCACCTGTCCCCCTGTGATGTGGACACTGTCCAGGCCGGGAGCTTCATGCTGCCCTGGCATCACCCCGGCCCTGACTCTGGCCTCAGGGTAGCTTGGCTGCTTCAGTCTCCCCACCTCCAGAAGCCCTTTTTGGGCACAGTCTTCTTGGGGAGATGGGCACCAGGCCTCTGCTTGAGCTCCCTGGTGTAGGGGTCAGCTGGAGAGTACCCAGAAAACAGGGGTACAGGTTTGGTTCAGCCTGGGTCCCTCCCTCAGGCCAGGGTTGGGGTTGGAGCCAGGCAGCACTGCTCCCATGGACCACACAGGGCACACAATTTATCTCCACCCCAACCATGGCTTTTGGGTGGTCACAGCCAAGGGGGCCGGTTTCTTCTGGTGATGGTCTGAAACTTCAGTTCCCCCATCCGGGCCAAGGCAGGGGTAGGAGTTGGGAGTGATTTCTTCACAGTACAGAAAAGAAGGCAGAGGGGAGCACAAATTAGGGAAGTGGGGGCCTCTGGCCAGAAAACACTGCCAGAGCCAGGTGCAGGATGGGAGGCCCTGGGTCTGGGAGGGGTGACTTAGCCCCGCCTGCGGGTCTCCATGGTGATGAGGGGCCTTGTAGGGGAGAGCTGGTGGGGGGAGGAGGGTCCTGCTGCTGCTGGTGGTGGGGGGATATCCAGATGTGGGGGAGGGTCTGAGGAGGGGTCCTGGCCCTCCGTGTCCTCCACCAGTCCCAGACCAGGGGTTCTGTGTCTCCTGGGGGCAGGGCCATCCCTGCCCAGAGCGTCTGTCAGGCAGGTCACATTGGGAGTTGCTGGCCTAGGACTGCCTCCCCACTTCTGAGTCCTGGAAGTGCCTTGAGGTTTGGGAGGGGCTGTGGAGTAGGGGTAGGTGGAGCCTGGGTTCTGGGAGGGAGGGTCTCACCCCTGCCCTGCCTGCCCCAAGAGGCCCTTAGGACAGTTCTTCTGTGGGCAGCTCCTCCTCCAGGTCCCTGTCTTCCGGAGGCCCCACGGTGCTGGGGTTGGGGGGACCCAGGGGTGGCCTGGGCCGCCCATCTTCCTCTGCCTCTGCCGGCTCCTCTTTCACCTGCACCTGGTGGCTGTGGCAGAAGGGTCTATGTGGGTACTGAGTGTGGCTTTCTCTGATCACCCCAAAAAGTCCATTTGGAATGCTGGGGCACAGTGGGGGTGCCCATAGCCCAGAACTCCCAGTCTCCCATCATCCCTGAGCCACACCAGAGTCTGACATCTTAAGCCTGATCTTCTCCCAGGGGTCTCGCAAAAAAAAAAAAAAAAGAGGCCAGAGGACCAGAGATGCCTTTGGCTGGGAAGGACAAAGTGAGGAAGAGAGGGGAGGGGAGGAGGAGAGGAAGGGAGGCTAGGAGGGTGGAGGGAAAGAGATGAGAGGGGAGAAGAGAGGGGGAGGAGAAGGGAAAAGAGAAGAGAGGAGGAGGAGGGAAAAGAGAGAAGAGAAGCGACAGGTGGGAGATGACAGAGGGAGAGAGGGTGAGGAAAGGGGCAAATGAAGAGCAGAGAGAGAGGAGAAGCCACTGAGGGGGCAGAAAGGCGAGGTCCCCAGTCTTGGGAGGAGAGGTGTGGCAGGGAGTGACAAAATGGGGACATTCACCTGCAGCAGAGGAAGATTCTGCCTCCCCAATGTTTGAGGGGCACTGAGGAGGGGGATGCTCTGTGCTGCCTGCTCACCTGTACTGGGGCGGGGAGAGGCGAGGGGGGCTGCTGCTGCCATTGCTGGGTAGCAGCTCCACGGGGGCACCCACGTCTTCGTGGCTGAGGGGCAGGAGGCTGCTGGTGGAGCCGGGGTTCAGCATGCCAGGGCTGTTGAGGAGGGGGAAGCTGCTCTCGGCCAGGGCGGCCTGGAGAGACACAGGATTGGGCCCAGTCAGTGGGCTTCAAGGGTAGGGGCACACCCAGTCAAGTCCCCATGCCTTCTCCATTCCCTTGAGAGTCTCAGTGTGCGTGGGCATGTGTGTGTGTGTGTGTGTTTATGTCTGTATGCTTGCTAGCCCCACTGCCAGATCTAGCTCAGCAAACCCCCGCCCCTACTCTGCCCTCAAGCCCAGACTCATCCTTTCAAACAAGAATACCCCGTCAAGTCTAGAACTCTAGCCCCAATCTTCTGCCTCCCAGCTTTCCTGGAACCCTGTGCCTGGCTCAGTCTCTCTCCCAGAAGACAGACGAGCCCCAGACTGACAAGCCACGTAAGGGGAGGCCATTGGTTAGGCCAACCTCTGTGTTCTCTGCCTCACCCTCCATCCAAACCCAGACAAGAAACCAGACATGGAGAAGGTGGGGCCCGAGTTGGGGTGGGCAGAGGGCTGAGGTTTCAGCCACAGACTGTCTTCATCCTGCTCCAATGGGCCCTCTGCAGGGGAGGAGGCTGGGGAAAAGCTGCTGTAGGAGGCCAGAGTATGTTGGAGGGAAAGCAAGGAGGCAGGAAGTACAGGGAGTGGATAGGTGAGCTCTGAGGGGCCCCATCACCTGGTAGCTGGCATTAAGTGCTCCATAACTGAGGCCCGAGATCATGTTCTTCACCAGGGTAGGGCTCCTGGGAGGAGGAAGACAGGCATTGATTCGCTCAGGCTCCAACTCCTTACTCGAACCTCTGGACCCTAATTAAGAGGCCACTCTGTGCCAGGCACTGCCCCATTCATTATCGTTGTGCCTCCCAATGACCCCTGAGGCCAGAGCAGGCCCGGCCACTGTCTGTCGAGTCCTAAGAGGCACCAGTCTTGTGTGTGCTTGATCTTACTCATCCTCACCCTGATGTGGCGCGGCAGGGATCACCTGCCCGCTTCCCAGGTGAGGGTGCCGAAGCTCCCAAGGGCTCGAAATGTGTCCACGGTCAGAGCTGGCAAGTGGGAGCTCCAGGTTGTCTTGACGCTGCACTGCTCCCAGCATTGTTCTCCCGTGTTCGGCAAGGAGTTACAGCCTTGATAGTTTCTCACTCATAAAATCCACACTTTCTCACCATTCTGTGCTCAGCCTGTCCCCACACGCTCCATACAAAAGCCTTTTTTTTTCCTGCATGAAGTGTTGCGTCAGGAGAAGCAACGACTCAAGGCTTTCCCCCTTCCACAGGGATTACCCCCAATTTAGAGTTTAGTAGGAGAGGCTAAGGAACTGGCCCAAGGTCACAGAGCTGTGAGAAGCAGAGGTGCAATATGAACCCAGGTCCCAGTGGGTCATGAGGTGTAAGGAGTCCCTGGGCCGTGTAAAAGGTTAATGGGCACAGCTGCTAGCCAAAAGGTTAGAGGTTCGAGCCCACTCAGAGGTGCCTCAGAAGAAAGGCCTGGCAATATCCTTCTGCCAAAGCAGCCAGTGAAAACTATGGAACACAGTTCTACTCTGAACATATATGGGGTTGCTGTCAGCTAGAGCTGACTCAACAGCAACTGGTTAAAATGAGGCATGAAAATACCTGGTGTAAAAACTAGTGCACAGAGGTGCTCAGTAGGAATGGTTTCCCTTCCCTGTTCCAGGCTGGCTGGGGGTGGAGAGGCTCTTGTTTGGGGAGAAGGAGGCTTTAAGGCACTCAGGGACACATCCATCTAACAGGCTTCAGACCTTTCTCTCCCTCCCCACAGGCAGCAGTGTGTCAGGTGTGGGGCTATTTAGGGTGGGAAGAAGGCAGCACCAGGGCTAGAAGGTAAGTCAACAGAGATTTTTAGCCTTTCCTGGCTCCTTGAATTTCTATGTAAAATGTTATTATAGAGCCCCCAAAAAAGCATAGGTCCTCGGCCCAGCTCTGCTACAATCTGCTGTGGCCTCCCATCAGCCCCTTGCCCTTTCTGGGCCTCTTTCCTGTATGAAACACAGAGGTAAGGCCAACCTGTGACCATTTGTTAGAGTTGCAGGAGTGTGGGCCCAGGAGATGGCAGTCCCCTCACCAATGGCCCCATTGACTGGCCTCTGCCCATATCCCAGCTCCATCCATGGCTACTTTGTGCCTCTCTCCCTCTAGTTTCCAAGTCCTCCTTGGCCTCCTCCTTCAGTCAGGACTGAGGACAGAACAAAGCTGAAGGATCCACCGTCTACCCTCTGTCACTGCCAGACTCTGGCCTCCTGTCCCGGCGCTGGGCTCTTCTGCCCATCTCCTCTCATCCCTACCCTCCCAAGCTGGCAAGGATGCTGCACACATGGTAACCTGGAGAGGCATGAGGGGGTGAGGCAGGTTTTGTGCCCTGGCTCATGCCTGGCTGGGTGCACACACCCGGGGCTGGCCCACATACCCGGTCATCTTTGGCGGTCTCCGCTTCTGATACTCCCGCTCGTCCACGGTCCACACAGCACCCTTGACATTCTCCACACGGACGAAACACTTGTGCAGGCTGAGGTTGTGACGCACGGCGTTCTAGGGGTGCAGCAAAGAGGGGAACAGGTGCTCAGAGGTGGCTTCCTTGGCTGCACTCAGGGGAGCACATACAGAGAAGTCCTTGTCCCAAGTCCTTGCAGCAGCAGCTCACTTTCCTAGAGCCCAGGAGCAAGCTCTCAGAGAGGCTGGGCTGACAAGAGACCGGCCAGAGGGGGTGTGTCCCAGTTCTGCCTTTGGAGTGACGGGTTCCCAGCTTTTTCACCATTGACCAAACCAAATCAAAACCAAACTCACTGCCATCGAGTCGATTCTGACTCATAGCGACTCCCATTGGGTTTCTGAGGTGGTAAATCTCTATGGAAGATTGCTCAGTCTTCCTTCCACGGAACAGCTGGTGGGCTCGAACCACCAACCTTCTGGTTAGCAGTCAAATGCCTTAGGCCCTATGCCACCAGAGTTCCTTTCACCACTGACAGCCCATATTATTATCTGCCCCCTCTTCTCCTTGCAATCTACTTCCATAGTGATACTGCCTTGGAAACCCAAAGGGGGTAGCTATGAGTCGGATATGACTGTATGGCAGTGGGTTTGGTTTCTGTTTTTTTCTTCTTGCTACAAGGCATCTGCCTGCTAACCAGAAGGCTGGCGGTTCAAACCCACCAGCCACACCTCGGAAGGAAGATTAGGCCATCTACTTCCGTAGTGATAGTGCCTCGGAAACCCAAGGAGGGGTTGCTATGAGTCGGGTCCGACTCGACAGCAGTGAGTGAGAGCTACATTGGAAAACTCTACCAACTAAGCGCTATCTAGTTAGCAATAATTTGTTTTCCCATCATGATTCATCAGTGGCACATGGAGCTCTTGTTCATGAGGACTTCTGATCAACATGAGATGGTGCTCTTGCCCAGAGGGCTCTGGCATCTCAGTGAGTCTGGGACACCTTACCTCAGGCACACGCAGGATTTCCATTAAGCTTTGAAAAGTTTTAGAAAAAACTCATGAATCCTCACTGTCCTTCACAGACCCCTGGGAGCTGGGAAGCCATGTCTTTGGGCTGTGGTTCAGAACAGACAGCTATTGAGAGCACAAGGCACACAGTAGAGCCCCAATACATACTTGTTGAAATAAATAAACTAACAGAAAGGAATGTAGGCTTAGTGGCTGTGATGCACTAAGGAAGAGCAGACAGAAGAGGAAAAGTCACCTTGTCACTCCCACCTCCTCTTAACAGGATAACTTCAGGAATTGAGGTCATCTGGTTTATAGGACACACTTGGGTGAGGGTGGGGTGGTGGTGATGGTGGTGCTTGGCCCAAATCCCCCATGGGAGCATGGGCTAGGACACTAATCCACCCACTACCTGCATGCCCCTCAGTCCTATCTACCCCTGTACTACCCCACCCCCATTCCCAGCCATCACCATCCCTGCCTGTGTCCCTGTCCCTGTTACCTGTCCTCCCTCAGCCTCCCCCTGCCTCATCCCCATCCTTGTCTCCTCTTTACATTTCTAAACGGGAAGAAAGCGGGCAGGGCGGGCAGCCTGTGCCCCTGGAGATCCCCGCTCCCTCTCTCCCTTCCAACTCTTGCCACTTGCAACTGGCCCGATTTCATTACCAATTTTAATTTGCCTCTAATTAAATCCTGTGTATTTTTCTGACTCACTTGCTAATCCACGAGGGAGGCGGGCGGCTGGAGTGGAATCTCTTGGAGCGATAATTACAAAGGGCCTAATCACGCCGGGGCTCCTGCCTCGGAATAAATTTGCCCGCATTACGGGGCTCCGATCCTCCGCTTTGCAAATGAGAATGACCCCAATTTCCGAGGATGGCCTCACTGGGGCTTTTTTCCCTCATTTCGAAGCCTGATTCGTGATGAGAGACTAATTCGTTACGCTGAAACATTAACGGCAATTTAAGGGGTCTGGCGGGGGCTCTGTAAACAAAAGGACAGCCCACAACACGGGCCTGGGGAGGGGATGGACACCGGGGAGGGCTGGGGAGGATCATCAGCTTGGCAGATGGCAGCTCTGTCCCCGGATAAACAGCAGCTGGCCTGGCCCATGCCCGCTCCCAACCCTTCTGCCCTGGTCTGAAGTGGACAGCATCGCAGGGTGGAGACCAGAAAGGGTGGAGGAGGAGGGAGGGAAGGAAGGAAGCAGAAATACTTAAGGAGAGGAAGAGGCGGGACCTCAAGGGGCACAGATAGGTGTAAGTGGAGAGTGGGAGGGAAGCAGAGTTGGGTGTCGACAGGGCACGTAGTATTCCAAGCAACATGAATGAAGCCTGCCTGCATAAATCTGAGGGTCAATGTGTACCTCAAGCTGAGACGGATTCTGCTCTGCCACAGGGAGGACACAAGTAGTGGTGACCTCAGGTGGTAAAAGCAGCAGCAGGGCACTACCATCAGGAAAGGTCACCCATTTGGTCATTCATTTTCCCCCAGCCCAGCCTCTTGTTGGGACCCAGACCAGGTGAGAAAAGATGGTGGTAAAGAACTGGGAGAGAAAGACATACCACTGAGATGGGAAAGGTTAGGCATCCAGTCAAAGGGAGTGTGGAAGAGCGTACAGGAGGCCAAGTAGGTTGGGCTACAGGGGGTGATGGCTGCATAATGGTCACTGAGAGGTTTAAGGACATCACCTAAACCCACTCCTACTGATCTGAAGAAAGAGAGAAGCAGAAACTGCAGCAGGGGTGGTATAGGTGAGAGAACAAGAAGGAAGGTAGGGGATGAGCTGGACTCTTGTTTCCAAGGAGGAAGTTATGGAAATGAGGCTGAACATTAATATGTTCTAACATATAATTGTGACATCAATATGAAGTAGCAAAGTAGATGTGCTTGAAAAACATGAAATAATAATCATAACAAACTTTTACATTTGTATAGGACTCTATCATTTATAAAATTTGGTTTCCAAACTAGACTGGAGGTTGGGGACTGGACCAGGTGACCTCAAGGCCGGGCTGGCTCAGAAAGAGGGCAGGACTATGGTTGGCAGGAAATGACATCACTCGCAACCAATCAGAGCTGTTGCCCAGTCTCCCAGCCTCTCTCCCAGGCCTTGGAATAAGGCACAGGGATGAAGAAGGTCATGAAGCAGTCCCTATTGCTGGACCCAGCACACTGCCCTCTCGGACGGAGAAGAATGGGCCCTGTGCACACCCTATCCAGTTCTGGGTGCTGGTAGGGTGGGGGTTCAGTAATTAACACTTGTTGAAAGCTGGTGGGATAAGGGGAGGTGGCCTGATTAGCTGCAGTTTCTGCATAGGCCAGTAGGGGGACACAAGAGCCAGGGATCTGATTAAGGTTCTAAGATTGGGACTCCTTCCCCCAAATTCCCCCTCCCCCTCTCTCCCTCTTAGTTTAGATATCCCCTTCCCACCCTGCTACACAGATCCTAATACTTTCACCCAGCAGACACACACACACACAATCTTACCAATGGAAAAACAAATGACTTAGTGCCCTGGCCCATATCTCTGTGTCCCATTTTTCTAGAGGCCCCCCTTTCCTGCCTCTGGTCCCCAAGGAAAAGTCTTACGGCTGAAGGTGTTGAAATGACTAATTGGATGGAGACAATTATCTTCCTGCCACTGATGGCAGTGGGGGAAAGTGTACTGTGTTTGTGCATGGGTACATGGGGTCATGGTCCATCCACACATCCTTGCCTGCACACCCCCGTCCCACATCCCAGGGCTTCAGAACATGCATCTTAGCCGAGGTAACTATATTCTCAGGATTCCTACAAATTTCACCCAGGCCTCCCTATCAGGGCTGGCCAGTACCAGGTCCCAGAGGCTCTACTTCATGGGGCTGGACAACTGGGAGGCACTTCAGAGAACTGAGGGTTTCTTCTAGAAAGAAGACAGCACCAAGTTGGAAGTAAAGGATCATTAAAAGGCAGTTGTAGGACCTTCCATAGGGCCAATGAAGTGGGGATGGGGCACACGGCTCAGCCTGGGCCCTAGTGGGCCCGTTTCTACAGAACCTGTCCCCCAGAGAGGGCTAACTGTTAGGCAGTCTTAGATAGAAGGATGCAATACCCAAGGGTGGTTGGGGGCCCTGGGACAGCTGAAGGGGAGTGCCTCACCTTCCAGGTGGCAGTGTTTCTCCGGAAATAGGCGAACATCCTGGTAAACCAGTTATAAATCTCATTCAGGGTCAGCTGCCTATCAGGGGTTTCCAGGATGGCCTGTGGGCAAGGAGGAAGCAGAGAGACCCTCAATGGTGGCTTGAAGGGTCACAGTCCTGTGTTCTCTCTCCTAGAATCTCTCTCTTCTGCTGGCCCCCTAGCTCAACCCACCCTGTGAGCAGAGGAGACCTGCTGCAGAGATGTGTGGTACTTGTGGGTGGGCTGAGCCCAGCCACAGGCTAAAGGCAACACAAGCCTCCAAAGGGCTATATACTTTGCAGAGCATAGAATTTTTATCTGGAGGGAGATCACTTCAAAAGTCCCCTGTCCTGGCAAGGACAGGAAAGCAGTATTCTTGAGAGGCAGATGTCCTTGGGACAAGAACAGTTTGAAATTTCTCCTGATTTTGGCAAAAGTGTGTGTGTGAGAACATATATGAAGTTGTACATGCCTGTGTGGGGCTATCAGAGAGAGAGAGTGTAGTATGCAAATGTATGTTTGTGAGTGAGTGGTATTATGTGAGCCTTGAAGACATGAGGATTACGGACATGAGGGAGGGAACAGAGATAGGTGTGTGAGGTTATGTGGGAGAAGAAGAGGCAGGCTAAGAGTGACCCTAAGTCTACCAGAAAAAAGGGCCTCATGGGAGTGTGCACATGGAAATAAGAAAAGGAATGACACAGTGGGTGTGAGCAGTAAAAAGTATGTGTCCCCCTGCCCCAGGACACATCCATGTGATCAATAGGCAGACTGAACTGAGGTAATGAAACGAAAACTGCACGAGGGAGACTGTAAGGCTGTGAGACAGGCGAGGACAACGTGTGAGGAGGGAAAGTCCTATCTACTGTCTGGCCCTGGGGACCTCCTGGAGCCTGGGGACCTGAAGTGGGAATCCAGGGAGGGTTAGGATGTGCAGCCTATGTGCCATTCTCCTCCCACCCGTCCTCTCTGAAGTGCTCACCTGGCGGATGAGGGAGGCGTAGGTGAAGGGGGGCCTGACATCGGCGTTCTTGTAGAACTCATGATTCTGGGCCAGCTCTGGGGGAGACAGGTAGAAGGTAAGGTGGCCAGATGGTGGTCCAGTCTCAGGGGGTGGGGCACCTTTCTCCTGAGGCCCCCGCCACTCCCACCTGCCCTCACCTGAGGAGATGGGGGAGCAGAACTTGTCACTGCTGCTCCTCCGTCGGGTGGGGCCCCCGCTGTGCAGGGAGGCAGAGCCAAGGCCAGGGGGCCTCAAGGGGGTGACAGGGGCGGCGGCCGAGGTAGGGGGGTGCACGAGGCCATCTGGGAAGGAATCTGCTGCGGAGACAGTCACCTTGGAGAATGAGGAGGAGCCAGGGACCGGATTCAGCTGTGAGCAATGGGAAGGACGCTGAGACCAGTGCTGAACAGAGGGGTTCCTAAGCCTCAGGGGCTGTGGAGGGGCTTGGAGAGGGTTAGCCAGGGAGAGAGTTACTCACTGGCTGGCTGAAGGGCTTGGGCTCGGAGGGCCGCATATGTAGATGGGCCATCATGGCCTGCAGCCTTTCACTCTCCTTGGCGAGCTGTGGAGAAGCAGTGGTGAGCAGGGGGCTACACTGTTAGGTGGCCCACTCCTCTTCCTCCTCTGTATCCCATTCCTCGTAGCTCCCATGGGCCACATCACCAGACTCCTCAGAAAGTCCTTATTCCCTCCCCAACTTGCATCCACACCTCAGCCTCTCAGCTCTCTCGGTCCTCTGCTCCTGGAAGGCCTCAGCCTCTTCTCTGACCATCTAGCTCCTCAAGGCCATGTCCAAGTGCTGCTTGTCCATGAGGCCCTCCCTTTGTCCTCTGTGGATCATTAGAGCACTCCCTGGGTGTCCCTGGCTTGAGCTCATCACCACCACTACACAGCAGGAGGCTTTTTTCTAACAGCACCTGCCTTTTCTCCCCACTGAGGGCAGGGCCATGGCTGCTGTTTCTTGAACACCCAGGTGCCTAGTTCTATGGCATTAGCTGTGAGAGGGTCCTCCTGGACTGAAGGAAGACACAGAGGAAGTGATGCCTGTCTCACTCATCCCCGTTCAGAAACGCACTAGGCCCACACCTGAATCTCCAGCTGCTGCACCACCTGCATCTGTACCCGACACTGGGCTGTGCTCCGGTCGTCCAGGGCATGCTCCGTGTTGAGGTGTCTTCATGGGAAGGAGGGTGGAGAACAGAGAGTTGGCCCAGGTTCCCCTGCTGCCCCCACCCTCCCATCCCCTTCTCTAACCCTACCCACAGACTGAAAAGCAGACAGACTCTGAGTTACAAAGAAGGAAAAGAGGTGAAAACGTGGGCCAACAGAAGCTGCCTCCTCCTCAGCCTCCTTTGATGTCTTTGCTAAAATCCCAGCTACAGAGAGATCTAATTGCAAATGAACTAATTAAGTAAACCTCTGACGAAGCGTGAAAACAATTTGTTTGACCCTGATGCTGTAAGGGTCTGGGAGACAGTGGAGTTAATCAGTCAGTGACAGAGCCTGGCACGGCCATGGCAGCTGGCCGCCTGCCTGTCCCCGGCCTAGGGCCCCATCACTAGGCCATCACTCTCAGGCTGAGTCTGGGAGGGATGATGTGAGGATGGCGAGGGTGGGGTGGGATGGGAGGAGGAGAGGTGCTTGCATCCATCCTCCCTGGGCTCTCTCCTCCTACTCTCCACCCAGGGCAGGTTGGGGGATTGTAGGTCCCAGGAATGTAGGGTGGGGAGGAGGGTAGGCCCCCTGGGGTCAAAACTATGGGACAGATGGTGACTAAAGGCCCCAGAAGGGGCAAGCTAGGTGACAACTGGGGAGAGGGCTTTGGGGACACCGTGGGGAAAGGATGTGTGTTGGGGGATAAGGGGTAGGGGCAAAAGGAGAGTGAGGTGACACCTACTTGATAAACTGGCCCAGGTCTTCACACAGCGTCTCACAGCCTGGCCACTTGCACTCTCCGTGTCCGTAGAGAGGGTGGGAGCTGGGGGTCTCCTCATGGGAGGAGCTGCAAGGGCATGAGGGAGGTGGTCGACAGAGGCCCAGAAGACCCCCACATCATGGGCCCAGCTCAGGCCCAGCTCCCCCTCTGGTGAGATTTCTGTCCCTCCTATGTGTCTCCCAGAGGCCCAGCACTCATCTCACACAGTTTTGTGTGCCCTGGGCAAGGAGGAATATGTCCAGGTCCCTAACCATGACCCAGTTCTGCCCAGCACCCACCACAGGTGCCATCCCTTGGGGTCCAGGTCTGCCTTTGGGCAGGTCTGCAGTGTCCCCTCCCAGCCTAGACCCCTCACCTGTCTCTCCGAGGTGTGAGCACAGTGGGCTGTCCATTGGGCAAGGTGTGGTGGGAGAGGGGCGGGGAGACCTTAGGAGGGGCGGTGAACGAGGTAGCGGTGGCGGCTGTGCCAGTGAGGTCCAGCCCCTCCTGCTTGACGCTCTCCTCGGCAGGCTGCCCAGGGGCACCCTCACCCTTCCATAGCTGGGGCAGGTCCGTGGGGCACACGGCTGCTGCAGAAGAAGGAAGGAGTCTGGCAGGGCCCCAGGAATGCAGGAGTGCAGTCTCCCCACTCACCCCAGGAGGAGGGGCTGCTGGCCCTTGGATGCCAGAGAGGGCTGTGGGGCTGGGCTAGGAGGGGCAGGAGAGGAGGGCCGCTCACCTTGTGGGAGGCTCTGGAGGGGCCCTGAGGCCTGGTTGGGCTGTAGGCTGACCAGCCCCTGCCTCTGCAGGTTGAGCAGGTGTTGCTGCTGCAACTGTTGCATTTGCAGGAGCTGTTGCTGGAAGGCCAGCTGCTTGTTCCCCAGTGCCTGGTGGGGGGCCCGAGGGGGCGGGCAGAGAGGGGTGCCATCAGCCTCAGGCGTGCCATCTGGCCCCCACCCTGCGGCCACCCCCTCCCAGGGCCTGTCAGCCCCCGGAGTGGCCGTTGCGGCGTCTGCAGCTGCAGCTTCTCTGCTCCCGGCCCAGCTTCCATAAGGCTGCATGCCTCCTCGCAGTAAACACACGCATGCACGCATGCACGTACGCGCGCAAACACGCGCGCGCGCGCACACACACACATACACACACACACACAGAGCTAAACCCAGACACGCAGCACGAAGCCCGCCCTCCTGCCTGCCTCCCTCCTCCTGCTGCGCCAGCGCGGCACCGCAGCTGTGTGAGCGCCTGCGGGGGGAGCCCCTCTCATCACAATGATCGATGAGCCTGTCAGGCTCTGGGGGCCACTCCCTCATGGTGGGCACCCTTCCCCACATGCTCAGGGAGCCCCTCGCCTGCTCTGGAGAGGGAGGACCCTTCTGCTCTTCTCTCTTGCTCCTTAGATACAGAGAATCAAGGAGTCAGACAAGACTTTAAAAGATCAGCTGGTCATTGGAACTGGGCTCAGGGAACAATCACAGTGCCACTGCCCAGGCGTGCTTGCTCACTCGTGCGCGCACTCTCTTTTGCTCTCTTTCTCTCGCTCTCCGCCCCCCATTCAGTTCTTTACACAGGCACTGACAAGCCAGGCTAGGCTGTCAGCAAGTCTTTGCTGAGCCCAGGAGCCAAGCATGTCCTGGGTGCTTGGGAGTCAGGGCCGTCTCTCTCTGCCTGCCTGGCCTGGGGGTGGGGTGAGGTGGGGTGGGGGGCTAGCTATTCAATATGGGGACAGACAGAGAGACCCAGGCTAGAGATTTATGGGCAGATAATGCCACAATTACAAGGCTGGAGGCGGGGGTGGGGGAAGGTCTAGGGAGTTTAGAGGAGGACTGGGCTTCATCAGGGCTGCCTTCTGGGAAGAGGTGACTTATAACTGGGCAGTGGTTTGGCCAGCAGCATGTTTGGGACACTGGAGGGGTGGGGCGACATGTGTAAGGCCTGGAGTGGAAGCACTGTGGGCCAGTGGAGCAGGGGGTGTGGGCTGGGAGTTCTCAGAGTAAACCTGTGCGGTAAGGAAAGGGGTGACTGGAGGAGAGTTGGCAGTTTAGTACCAGAAGCAGCAGAAGTTGAGGGATGGGGAGTTGCAGGTGTGTGTGTAGGGGGGTGGTTCTGAGGGGCTGAAAGATTCTCAGGCAGAGAAGTGGAGGGCTGAAGTGCTGACAAGTGGGCATGAAAACCAGGCAGCTGGATGTCAGCGTGGACCATCAGACACTCACACAGAGATGACCACATGCATGTCCACAAGCACGTGCAGAGACAACACACCACTTAGCCTGCTTGCTCACATTAATCCAATGGCACAAGGTCAGGAGAAGGGGAGGAGTGAATGGGGTGAGGGCAGAGGGTGAAATTTCAGTGAGCTGCCATCCCCATTTCCCCAACTTTTGCCTGATTTTTCTACTATTCTCACAAAGCAATTCTCTCCTGACCCCTAGCTGCTGGTCAGAAGAGGCCTGGGGCTGTAGATGATGGGTGGGGGAGGGGTGTCCTTTGAGGGGAATAGCCCCCGTCTGGGTGATGCAAGACCTGATAGAGCCTCTTACCTCTTTGGGTTGCTGTTTCCCAGCCTGCTGTTGAGTGAGGAGTTGTAAGTGGAGCTGTTCTTGCTGCTTCTTATAATATTCCTGCAGCTAGGTGGGGTGGAGATCAGAAGCAGGAGTGGTTACCACAGACAGGGGGTTGCTGAGCCCCAGAGTAACCCCTAGCCCTGTCCTCCGTGGGCTCCTGAGGTCTGGGTGGGCAGTTTCACTGCAATAGTGAAACAAGTGTTCTCCTGAGCAGGGCCAGGGTGGGGAGGGAGAGGGGATTCTATCCTGCAACTCTGAACCCTCCCTGGCTCCTTGGTAAGTCTCCTGAACAGGTCGCAACAAGGTGCCAGGGTGTTCCTGTACTTTGCTCTTTCCAGGGGTTCTAGAGATAGAGGCAAGGCCAGCACACAGGGAGGGGTATGGGGTGAGGGGGCTGCTGTGGAGAGAAGCCTGACCTTTGACTTCCCCCAACTGCTCTGGAGGAATGTAGATCAGTCTACTAGCCCGAGCCATCTCTCTGGGTGCTTCTGGGTGCTAAATTGTTTTTGGTAGCTGCTTCAGCCCTTGGTGATGTTGGCAGTAAACAGGGAGGGAGGTGGGAGGCCAGGTAGAAGGGGGCGGACAGAGCCCACCTCACTGGTCACTCGTCTTCCTAACTCCCTGGCTGCCCTGGGGCCAGACTCACCTGCTGGATCATGAGAGCCTGTTGCTGCTGGAGCAAGGCCTGCAGCTGTGGGGGCGACAGGATCTGCTGCATCTGCTGGGGGGTGAGCATCTGCGGCGACATCATGGCCACTGATACTGGTACCTGCTGGATTCGGCCCTGTTAGTCTGCTCACCTGCACCGTACCCGCAGGAGAGGCACACACCCAAGGCCCCACACTCAGTATGCAGACAGGCTCCCGAGTCAGGCTGCCTGGCTTCAAGTCCTGGCTCTGCCACTTACGAGCTGTGTGTCTTTGGCCAAGTGCCTTAATCTCCCTGTTCTCTGTTTCTTTGTCTCTAAAATGGAAGTGGCCACGGAGCCTACTTTGTTAGGTCCTCATAAGGATTAATAAGCTATATGAGAACTTGGCAAACAGGAAGCACTCATATGGATTGGCTACTATTGTAGGAAGTGTTGTCCTTGGTGCAGAAAGATTAGACCCTAGTGACAGCAGGCAGTAGAAACCAGGCTTTGGAGAGTTTCTGCTCTAGTGATGGGGAGGGGCAGCACCAAGCATTCCTGACTCTCATTCGTCTATTCTGAGACCACTACCTGCAAGGCAGGCCTGGCCAGGAGGCTGTCCATAGCTATGGGAGAGATTCAAAAGCAGCCTGCGTGACATGAGGACCTTGGCTGTGCCTGCTCCTCCCCCCACACACACATGTCATATGCTCCAGCATACCTGTCTCGAGCTACATACAGTAGTTTAGAGCTGAAGCCCAGGGGAGCACATGCAGGTGCAGTCTTAGTGTGTGTATGCGTAGCTATGTCTACAGCTATGCTGGAAAGAGTACAGGCAGGGAGTTAGGAGGGTAGGCTTCTGTTCCTAGCTTTGCAATGAATATGCTGTGTGACCTCAAGCAAGTCACTTGCCCTCTCTGAGGAGTCAGTTTCCTTAAACATATAACATAGAGATTGTCTGCAAGAAAGAATTCCTTCCAGCTGGGACATTCAGGACTCTAAAAGTAGAGCACCTTTCTGTTCCCTGTCCTGGATTAGGCCTTTCTAGCAGGCCCAAAGATTCCAGCTGAAGGTAAAAGGTCTGGGGAGAAGCAATAACATTTTTTTTCCTAGCCTATGTAGTCAAGGCCAGGGAGGTCCAAGCTGCTATGGTGTCCTATCCCCATTTTAGCAGGACAGGTACCCAGATGGGGCTATCTGCTACCTTCCTCCTCTCTGTGAGCCCATGGGTATAGGACTTTTCCAATCTCCCCTTCACTTCCACCCTGGCAGAGGGCCCAGCACACAGTAAGCACCTACTAAGTATTTGCTGCCCTGGGCTCCTCCGACAGTCCTGGGGCAGGAAATGAGGGGTGAGGAGTGGGACCCAATCAGGGAGGAGTGTCCTGCAGGGATTTGTCCTGGGTGGAACCCCTGATAGGTTAGCTATTCATTAGGAAATTCCCAGGCAGAAGGAGCCACCAAAGAAGGGCAGTAAATCCAGGGACACCAAAGAAATCCCAGTGTCCCATAACTACTGGCTGAATCCCACTCTTGGGCTTTGTCCTATACCCTAGCTGATGGCTGTCCAAACATCCCTGGGAGGGGTAACAAGCTAGCTCTTTAGTCATGGGCATACTGTGTGAATGGAGGTTCTGGGAATTCTAAGGTGGGGCAGAGGGGTGTGCCCATTAGACCTTTAACATCACCCCATGCCCACATCCCTGCCCTAAAGTGAGTCTTGAGAAGGGGTAAAGAGAGGATATGAAAACTGGACAATCCAAGGGGCTAAAGGGTTCAATGGGGCTGCAGATCCCAAAGGCACATTTTCCCCTCTTCACAAATGTATCCCAAGGGACTCTCTGGAAACCGGGCTGCAGGTGCGTTTCAGTTGTCACTCTCTGAGGGTTCTGGGATTGGGGGCAGACAATGACATCGACCCACCCTGTTCCAGAGCCAACCCCTGTGTCTGTTGCCAGGTGCCCCAGAGGCAGCTGAGAAGGCAGGGGCTCAAAGAATTTGGGTTTTATTGTCCAAAGACCTGGGTTGCAAGTTGGGTTGGGGTGCTCAACACCAACTACTATCAGCCAACTATCCTTTCTTTCCTCCTCTCTCCCTCCAACTCATGGGACTCTCAACAAAGAGGCAGCACAAGGTGCAGAGCACAGGCCAACCTAAGCTCTCGTCCCTGACATCGACCATGCTCTGAAATCACTAAACCTGCTAACTGGGTTTCTAACACATGCCCAGTCCACTTCACAGAACTGCACGTGCACATGGTGCTGAGGGTGTATTCCATGTCACGCACTGCACTAAGCCCTTTCCAGCTATTATCTCACTGAATCTTCACAACAACCCTGTGAGTGGGATAGCATCATAGTTACCACTTTACAGATAAGGAAACTGAGACATTAAATAACTCGTCCCCACGCCCCTTAAGACACAGGAGAAGGGGTGAGTGATATGATTCATATGCCATTAAATTCTATGCCAATGTTTAAAAAAAAAAAAGGAAAGAAATTAACATTCTAGATTCTCTTTCCTCATTCTTTTCTAGTCTCTTCTTTCTCTCTCCTTTTCTCCCTATTGTGTGCTAGGCATACTGGGGGCTCCAGAGGGCACTACATGGCAAGAGTCACTTAGGAACAAAGGGACTGGCCACTCACTTTCATTGGCAGTGATACTTGAACTAGAGGAGATGGATGTGACCCACAGCACGGGAGACTAAGCCCAGACACCTGGATCATTCCAGGCATCAGTGTGAGTCACTGAGAGTAGCATGCAACAAGGGATGTAGCATTTCCTTCCTTCAGGCTTTCAAGCTTGGAGGCAGAGGAATAGAAGACACGACCTTGGAAGGCCTCCCTGGCCTTGAGTTCACAGGAAAGCTGCTTTTAGGCTCTGGGCCCTACTCTGCAACACAGACTTTGGCTTCTTGGAGACTGAACTTAGGGATAGGGATGGAGAAGCAAGAAGGTATCCAGGGTTGGAGAAGACAGACAAGGGACTCCAGCCTCCATGGGAAGCTCAGGCATGGCCCCAAGAACTCCCATCTCCCTGAGACCCAGAGAACCATTCAGCTGGGTCTTCTCTACCTGGGAGTCTACTGGTATTCATTCCTGTGCTAAGCACAAAGCACCATCCAGCACAGAAATTAAAAGTGTTGAGTTCTGGGGATAGTTGTTTGCGTTCAAATCCTGGCTTTTCCCCTTGTTATCTGTGTGACTTTGGACACACTAACCTCTCTGGAGGATGGAGCTAATAATCACTAATAATAGCACCTACACGCAGGATACAGCCAGAATGCTCCTTAGAAGTGAGGATGGTAACACTCTGTCTCACTTACTTGGGACATGTAATTAGGAAGGACCAGTCTGGTGGTGTAGTGTCCAAGGCATTTGACCGCTAACCAAAAGGTTGGCAGTTCAAACCCATCAGCCACTTCGTGGAAGAAGACTGGGAAATCTACTTCCATAAAGACTTACTGCCTCGGAAACCCAAAGGGGATCCCTATGAATTGGAATTGACTTGACGGCAGTGAGTCTGGTTTCTTTTGGTTTAGTCTCTGAAGACATCGTGATGGATAAAGTAGAGGTCAGTGAAAAAAAGATGAAATGGATTGACACAAGGAAAAGTTTATACATAGAAGGAAACTTTCTTTGTTGGTTACCAGGTATGAGTAACCAGGGGAGGGGAGGGAAAATTTCTAGGTAAGTTGGGGAAAAAAAAAATCTATATATCTATATCTATATCTATATATGTATCTAAAGGAGCTCTGGTGGCACAGTGCCTAAGGCATCTGATTACTAACCAGAAGGTTGGTGGTTCAAACCAACCAGCCACTCCAGGGAAGGAAGACTGGACAATCTACTTCCATTAAGATTTACCACCTTGGAAACCCAATGGGGGTCGCTATGAGGCAGAACCGACTTGATGGCAGTGGGTTTGTTTTTTTGGTTTTGGTATCTATACCAAAGATTAAAAAGGTAGCAGGGAGGGGGACGAAGGAAGCATCTGTATGGGGGGCACTGAGTTTCTGCTAATAGGTGGTGGAATATTTTGGAAAAGGATAGCAATAATGGTGAAAAATATAATCAGTGTCCCTGAGCTGTAAATGTGGAAGTTGTTATGTTTGTGAATGTCTTGTTGTGTAGGTTTTCATCACTATAAAAGTAAAAAAAACAAACCAAACCAAAGAAATAGATTGAAACAGTGGCTGCAACAATGGGCTCAGACATGGTAGCCATCGTGGGGATGGTGCAGCATTGGGCAGTGTTTCATTCTGTTACACACAGGGTCGCTATGAGTCAGGACCCACTTGATGCTATCTACCACCACCACCACCACCACCACGCACAGGACTGTGAGGATAAAATGAGACAATACGTGCAAAACACGTCCGCCCTCACAGTAAGCACTTTGTAAATATTAGCGGTTAGTTTAGGAAGTACTCAGTAGGTTTATTTGTTGAATGAATTGATCAATCAATTATCGAGAAGTAAGGAGGCAAGGAAAGATGCCTGAGAAAGGGAGTATTTTATCTGTCCCTCTGACCCCAAAACCTCTTCTTCTCATTCTAGGCTATCCAAGGACCTCATTTTTTTTCAGGGTCTCCTAAGAAAGATCCCAGAGCCTTTTGTCCTCTCTCAGTTATTTCAGATCTCCTGCTCCTTATTCCTCCTGGCCATAAGTCCTTCTTGATGCTGACCTCAGTCACTCCAGCTACCACTAAGCCCCTTCCCTTTCTGATTTGAGGGAACATTTCCGTTCCATAGTCTACCCTCTAAGTTCTTGGAAGGAGTTACTAAACTGGGCCATGGTAAGGGGGATTCAGGACAGTAGCCCCAGAGCCATTTCAGATCCAGGATGTATATGTGAGGTCCCCAATTCAAAGACAGACCAGTCCTGACACCACTTAGACATGAAAACCTTCTACATCATTAGGGTGGGAGAACTTTCTTCTCCCCTGGTACTGACTTTCCAGGTCTTGCCCTCCCCTCCCCCACTCCAGGCCACTCCCCTCTTTGTCCTGCTCTTCTCCCATAAGGTTCCAAGATTTTGAAAAGTACTACCTACTTAAGGCCCCAAGTCTACCCAGCACCTTGAACTTTTTCAAAGCACTTTGACATAAACCCCAGATAGGTTGTCAGCCTTGGAATCTCCCTGCAAACAAAGCCTAGGCCTGGGTCCTTCTCAGAGCACCCTGCACCCCTCCCTGCTCTCCTCCTCCCTTCCCTACTTCCCTCAGCAGCCCCCCAGCCCACCCCCCCACACCCTAGACTCTAGAGTGTCTCCAGTTCAGGATCATGCTCACCCGTCCCCCTTAGATAAACTTCCTTTCAAAGCTCACTTAATCCTCTCCCCAAATTCCGAGCCTCCCCTGCTGTTGTGGGGAGGGGTCTGGAGAAAGACAAAAATGAGGAGGCTGGGCTGAAGGGCCTAGGGGGAGGGGGAGGGGTGGGCTGCCCCAGTTGTGACCCATCCTGAACTCAGACCGATTCTCCCAAGTTCTTTGTGATACAAAAGGTAAACAGAAGGCCTGGTTGCTCCCACCCCTCTGCCATTACTCCCCCCACACACAGCTCTCCCCTCCCCCAACCAGCCAGATGGGCCGGCAAGCTGGGGGGAAGGGAGAGGGGGAAAAAGGGCAGATTGTGCAAAAGAAAACAAAAGAGACAGAGAGACATGGCGAGACGAGACAGGAAATGTGGCGAGACTGGGGGAGAGTCAGGGGAGAGCCAGTGGGTGAGAGATAAAGGGAGGTAGAGACATGCGGGCAGCAGCAATGGAGAGCCTGGGAGGGTGAGCTGGAGACCCAGGAACAGAGAGGGCCAGAATGACCTAGAGCGACAGAGAGACAGAAATACTGGAAGTGACTGAGGGAAGAGGCAAGGAAGAAGAAACACAGTGAGAGAAGTACAGAGAGACAGTGAGCGCTTTTGACAGCCACAAACTGTGATATAGAGACAAAGGGGCAGGTGGAAAGAAGTTAAGCTAGAGGAAGCCTAGGTGATCAGGTAGAGGAGAGAGAAAGTGGAAGTTTCTGTCCCCCACCCATGCAGTGACTGTATTTCCTTCTGGAAAACTGCCCATGTTTTGGGCACTGGGGACTGACAAGAGCAGTTCTCCAACTGGTCCCTCACATCCTTCTGTACCAAGCCCACCCTCTTGACCTGGCCCCAGCAGAGCCCCAGCCCATAGGGTGCTCTCCTCCTCACCTGCAAGGCGGAGGCTGACTGTTTGCTGTCATTGTTCCCTGGGGAGCTCAGGCCTGAGGCCTGCTGCAGCAGGAACTGCCGGGCCACCTGGAGAGCCTGGAAGATAGGGGCTGAGTCAGTGCAGTGTGGGCATCCAGATGCCTGTGAGCTGGGGGGAGGATGGTTATGAGTCAGTGTGGGATCCAGGATTCCAGGGGAGTTTGGAGTAGTGAGGAGAGGAAGTCAGGGTAAGATGGAAGGTCTTGGGGGTGAATGAGCAAGTCATAGGGTCCATATAGGCTCAAGGGTGAGGACAGAGGTAGAAGTTAAGAGGAACCTTCAGGGTTTAGAGGTTGCCAAGTGGTGCAAATGGTTTGCATACAACTACTAATCTAAAGGTTGGTGGTTCGATAGTGAGACTCCCTGAGACCATGGCCCCTAGTTACCCTTCAGGTCTGGAATTGAACTCACTCCCATGGCTTCCAGCCAAACAACAGACAGGCATATAGAGTGAACATTTACATCAGGTAAATACACTCCTTAGAACAATCAGTTATGGGAGAACAGAAGGGCAGTGTTTGTACAGGGACATAGCTCAGGGGCCAGGAATGTATAGGAAAGGCCACAAGAGAGAGGTAACTACAGAGAGTAAGTGGGAAGAGAGCTGTTACACTGTGGGGAATTGCAGTCAATGTCATGCAACAAAATGTGTACGAACTCCTGTATGGAAAATGAATTTGCTCTATAAACTTTTACCCAAATAACAACAAAAATTTAAAAAAAAAAAAAGAAGAAGAAGAAGAAAGGTTAGTGGTTCAAATCCACCCAGTGGTGTCACAGAAGAAAGGCCTGGTGATCTGCTCCATAAAGATTACAGCCAAGAAAACGCTATGGAGCAGTTGTGTTCTTTACACACATGGGGTTGCCATGAATCAGAATCGACTTGATGGCAACAGGTTTGTTTTGTTGTTGTTAGAGTTTGGGGATCAAAGCTTATAGGAACTCACTCTGATATCTGGTGAAGTTTCGTTGGAACTTCAATGAGGGCAGCAAAAGAAAGGGCCAATGGTCACAAAGGGACTCCAAATAGGTTCAGAGTATTAATTAAAGCAGGGACTATTTACTGAGTAGCTACTATGTGTCAGGTACTGTACAGACAAGGTCTCATTTAGTTTTTCCATAAGGCTGTGAGGTAGGAATTGTCAGCTCCATGTTGCAGATGAGGAAACTAAGGCTCAAGGAGATTAAGTAACTTGTCTAAGATCACACAGCTAAAACTAGTAGAGCCAGGATTTGAGCCCAGGAAGACTGGCATCAAGGTAACCTGTCTTACTGGTGGTCAGTCTGGGGGCTAAGGTAGTCACAGCCCACAGTATGGGGTCAGTGGCACAGGGTTTGAGAACTGTGTGCATTTCTGAGTTTGGGGAATCTGGGTGGGTCTGCAGGGCCTTGTGGCACTGGGGGATTTAGGCCAAGTCCTGGAGAAGATCTCTCAACTATCAGTAGAGTTACACCAAGGTGGCTTGGTTGAATTGTGGGCCACAGGGGGACAGGGTGGGAGGTACAGAGAGTTTGCAGAAGAAATGGTTCTAGTTGGTTAGTGACAATCAAGGAGTCAGTGGGCCTAGGAGGTGGGCAGATGGACAGTGAGAAGTATAGTAGGAGAATGTGGGGTCAGGGAGGTCCAGAAAGTTCTTTGTAAGGTCAACTAAGCCCTCCATCCCTCCACTCTGGGTCACAGGCGGGGTCCTGTCCTAAAACCACCTGTCTGCTCTCATGTTCCTCTAAGACCCCTTTGAGAACCTGAGCAGCTGTATCCAGGCATTTGACATGGAGCTCTGGCATCATCAGGCAGTCCTGGATTTGGATCCTAACTATGCCACCTACCAGCTGTGTGACCTTGGGCAAGTTATTCCATTTCTCTGTGCTTCTGGCTTCTTATCTGCAAAACCAGGACATTATCTCTCTGGGAATGAATGACTAGAGGAACTACAGGGCCAATGTTTGGCACCTAGTTGTCATTCAGTAATTGTTCACTCCCTTCCCTTGTCATTAATCTCTCAATAGTTCCCTACTTCACCTCCTCCAGCCTCTCCCCAACACAGCCTTGTGCCAAGCGTTGCAAGCGCACTTATTAAATGAAATGCACCCACTTGAGGCTCTCTTTCACCATTTCTGGCCACATACACATTTGCTTCTTCTTCCATAGACTTCTACTCCCCCATCCCACTATTCCAAGCACCTTTAAGCCAAAACCTTTTACGGTGGAACAAGAATGCACATGTACATACTCCCCACACAGCAAACACTTATGGAGTACCCATGGTGTACCAAGCATATGTACACATCCAGCCCTTTCATCACTGGATTGAATAGCTGAGTCTCCCCCTCCCCTAAAGACATAAATCTAGTTTAATTTAGGATGGTATCTAAATACACATCGGTGTATCTATGGGAACTGGTCCCACAAGCAAACCTAGGCCTTTCCCATTGTGCCCTCTCTTCCCCTGGACCACACAGCTGGAGTCCTGGGCTTCCAGAGAGAGGAGGGATGTTTCTTCTTTCCAAGGTTCACTTTAGAAATTAGAAATCTGATTTTACTGAGTCAAAATGCTCCAAAAGGCTGTGGAGCCAGGATGAGGAAAGGAGGAGGTGGCCAGGTGGTCATCAGGAACAGGCTGCTGCCTGTGTCTGCCTCAGTAAGACCCCTTCCAGGTCTAGTAACATGAGTCAGATAAAAGCTCTTTGCCTTCCAAAGGTAGAGGTAAGATGGGGGATACAGGAGTCAGAGGTCAGGGGGCAAAGTGAGGGAAAGGAGAGGGCCCCCGAGTAGCCAGACAGCCCGGGCACCCAGAAGGGACATCGGTCAGGGTAGGGAAATGAAACACTCTAGATCCCTGGGGGCAGAGAGGAGCAACAGGGCAAGAATTTCCTTAGTCTCCAAAGGGAACAGGGGAGTGGCTAAGGGAGTTGAATTCACTCGCCAAGGGTGCTCTCACTCTGTGGTCCCCTGGAGCATGAAATTACAAGATTTACAGGGAAAAAGTGAAAGACCTTGCAATCTCCTTCCTGTGAGCCCTCCCTGTGACTCACCCTTCACTTCTCTCCTGCCCTCATCTCATGCTGACCCTCTTACCCACTCTGCCCCCAGGCCTTCCTGCCCCTTTGGGCCAGATAAGAGTGAACCAGGTAAAAATAGCCTAGACTAGTCCCTTCTTCCTACCTCCCACTACTCCCTCCACCATGTGTTCCTTCACTCACTTACTCACCCCTTCATTAACATTTCTGAGCACCTGCTGTATGCTAGGGATCCTGCTAGGTGCTGGGGATACACAGAGAAACAGGGCATGATCTCTGCCCCCAGGAGCTTACACCTGTGAAGATGGATTCATAGAGACTGACAAGGAGTTGGCCAGTCTGAAATAGAAGTGGGCAGTCAGTGTCCCAGATCCCAGAGAAGGTGGCAGCTCTGACGGGAGTCCTGAAGGGCAAGCGAGTTCACCAGATAACCAAGGAGGGGAAGGGTATTCCAGGCACAGGGACTCACATATGAGAGGTGTGAAATGGCCCAGTGAATCTGGGAACTCACTTGGGGCAGGAAATTGAGTTCTGTTGGGAGCAGCAGAAAGAGATCTGAGAGACGCCTACATGGGTCCCCAGGTGATCAGGTATGAAACCCTTCAGGCACTTCACTCATTGATTCTTTTCTCCACTCACTCACTCACTCACATTCAGTGCCACACACCATGTATAGCCCCCGTGGTTGGAGGAGATTGGGAGCTGATGACAACATAAGATCACTGCATATAATTCATTTAAGGCCCAATTTGGGACCTAGTACACCTAAGGATCACTGTGTAGGAGCCCCCAAAGGTGGAGGTGTTGGTCAGCCCTGAGCCTGGGCTCCAAGCTCCCCTCCACAGATGGCATGGACAAGTCTCTGAGTGCTTGGAGCACTGTAAATGCTGCTCCATTCCCCACTCTCCATCACCATCCTTACCTTCTACACATCCAGAGCCCCAGCCAGGGACGGCACTCTGGGAGCCTCAGGTTCTCTCAGGCCCAGGATGACCCCCTCTAAGAGTGGTCACTCAAGGGATCAGAGAGGTGTGAGACTTTCCAAAACCCCACCCAAGTCACATTCATCACGCAGAGTATCTTCACTCCCTGCTGGCAGTGGGGCCTGATAAATCCCTGGGCCACCTACCTCCAAGACCGAAACCAAACCAAACCAAACGCTCTGCCGTAGGGTTGAATCCAACTCACAGCGACCCCCCTCCTTGGGTTTCCAAGGCAGTAGCTCTACAGAAGTACATTGCCCAGCCTTCCTTCTGAGGAGTGCCTGGAGGGTTTGAATCACCAGCCTTCTGGTTAGCAGTCAAATGCCTTAGGCACTACTCCACCAGAGCTCCCAGAGAGGATAGGAAGTGGCCCTGACATTTGTCCCTAGGTGGTGCAAATGGTTTGCTCTTGCCTACTAACCAAAAGGTTGGTGGTTCGAATCCCTTTAGCAGTATAGCAGTGATGTGGAAGAAAGACCTGTCAGAAAGATGAACAGCCTTGAAAATCCTATGGAGCAGTTCTACTCTGACACACATGGGTCATCACTAGTGGAAATCAACTTAATGGCCATGTTTGTTTTTGTTTTGGCCTTGATAGATCCTGCACTGATGATGTCAACCAAAACACCACCTCCTTGAAAATACATACACTGTTGAATGTATCTGTGACACCCCACTCCTTGTCCCCAGCCCCCAGGAGTCCTACAACACCTACTGGTGTATAGTACCTGACAGAGCTCAAAGTGCTTCTACAGACATTTAACTGGAAATTCACAACACTAAGCTCTGGTGGCGTAGTGCCTAAGGCATTTGACTGTTAACCAGAAGTCTGGTGGTTCAAACCCACCAGGCATTCCTCAGAAGGAAGACTGGGCAATCTACTTCTATAGAGATACTCCCTCAGAAACCCAAGGAGGGGTTGCTATAAGTCAGATCCGACTCCACGGCAGTGAGTTTGGTTTTTGGTTTTTTTGAGCTAGGCACATCAGGCATGATCACCTTCATTTCACAGACAAGGAAACTGCAGCCTAAGGTCCCACAGCTAGGAAGTGGTGG